GTACCCAAGTTCAAAAGATTATTTTCTTTTAAGACGTCAACACAATATACGCTCACACACACCGAACTCGGATCTATAATGAAAAAAATAAATAATGGTATTATAAAGCACATATTTAAATGTACATATATATCAGCTCATCCAGGGCGAGACAGAGTACAGCGGAATCTTCAACATAGCCGAGGCTGCCCTATGTTAACTCATTAATCTGTAAGATCTTAATGTTGATAATTTTACCGATCAATAAGAATTATGAAATATACAATGGTCAACGTCAAATATTCTTTATGAATGATGATCTGATCGTACGTTATTCTCTGTATTCACAATTCATCCTTCGTGATGGGTGGTGGGGTAGCCTAGTGGTTAAAACGTCTGCTCGTCACGCCGTAGACCCGGGTTCGTTTCCCCACATGGGTACAATGTCTGAAGCCCATTTCTGGTGTCCCCCGCAATGATATTGCTGGGATATGGCTAAGAGCGGCGTAAAGCTCAACTCACACACTCAGTCATCGTTCGGGTAGTCTTCTTGACACATGCCATCTCTCTCGCCACGTTGATCACCATAAAACACAGCGTGCTGTATCACATAGTAAGAGGTTAATTACTAGGACAAATAATGTCCGAAAGCAGACCGAAAGTAGTCGATATTGGGGCAAATTTACAACAACAGGTGAACGCCACACTCAGCAATATTCGGTCTGTAAATAATCGATTCTGGCCTAGACAATCCGGTGATCAGCATCAAGAGCACCGATCTACGATGACATGTGGCAACCAAGTCGGCGAGCCTGACCAGCCGATCCCGTTAGTCGCCTAACCATCGGTGGACAGCTAAGACAAGTGAAATCGACGAGCGCTGTTATTGTGCTGACAAAGCCAGAGTCATAATTATGACGTACACCGGATTCCGCTTCATTCACTGCATGAAAAGAAAAGGTATACTCGTGTCCTACCTAAGTGTGTAACTGTTGCAAGTGCCACGTAGCTATGTGGCTGGAAGTAAAAGATTGCGTTGGTACTCTTCAGCGTTTGTATAGTATGACCAGAAATTATTGAGAATTTTAGGAATATGTTTAATTGGATTTCTAGTATAAACAACCTTGACCAGCTAGCAAATTGTTTGTTTACTTGCTAGCAGAGGACATTTTCAGTGATCCTCAGTATGGATGATTTAGAGAAGAGGAAGTTGATTTTAGAGTATTATAACAAGGACATCAGATCAGCTAAAGTGATTTCAAGTAGAACAGGCATCCCTTTGTCCACTGTTTATCGTGGTTTGAAAAATATTGCAATTGGACATGGCATTGAGCAACAGGGAGGCGCAGGTAGGCCCAGAAAATTGACTGTCGGTGACAGGAGGCGGCTTGGTATTCTTGTTTCTAAAAACAAACGAAGGAGTTTAGAAAACTTAAGGCTGGATATGATTGATAGAGGAACTGTGGCTGTCTGTAAGGAGAAAATTAGAACTGAGCTGCATGCAATGGGTTGGCAGAAAAGTCGAGGAATTCCATCACCGATCATGAAACCTGAACAAAAGGAGGGAAGGTTGAACTGGTGTTTACAGCATAGAAATTTTAACTGGGACAATGTGATTCAGATGAAAGTTCTGTGTGGCTGTTTCCTAATACACTGAAATTCTGGACCAAACAAACTGAAAAACCTTTGTATCAGCGCCCACAGTACAGTCCGAAATGTAACGTGTGGGGTGGCATATCTGTGTTAGAGGCAACGCCCCTCTGTGTATTTGAAGGGAATATGAACAGTGAGCGGTACACAGATATTCTCGAGGGACATTTACTTCCATCTGTTCACGTGTTCTATGGAAATGTTTGGATTTTCCAGCAGGACAACGACCCAAAACATCGTTCAAAGCATTCACAGGCCTGGTTTCGGACCCAAAATATGACATTATTAGATTGGCCAAGCTATAGCTCTGACCTAAATCCAATAGAAAATGTTTGGGGACTTATGAAGGAAAGTGTCAATAAGAAAAATCTGACAAATATTGCTGAAATGAAAGAAAAGGTGGTCCGATATTGGGACAGCATGGACCACGACTTTCTAACTTCTTTGATCAGTAGTATGCCCCGCCGCATTGAAGCCTGCATTGCTGCCCATGGTGACTTGACAAAATACTAACTATTCACCTGTCTTTGAATCTGGAGTTATGTTCTGCTAATATTCACATTTAATACGTGAGTAATGAGTGAAATTTAAAAAAAAAAAGTACAATCTTAAATTCTCAATAATTTCTGGTTGTACTGTATTTCACCAGGATCTTTCAGTATTAAGAGGTCTCTGTTTAATGGACTTCACACGATGACGTAAGATGATGTACAGTAGAACGTCATTGCGTCGAAGTTGAAGCGACCTGCGAGTTACATGATGTTCGACACAAACGTATAATGGTTACTCTGTAAGGAATACGCATGAATTAAGCTTGTATCTCGACATAGCTTACGTTCGACATAACGGTATTTGATTGTAATTAGTAGCTAACAGATTTTTAATATAATAAACTTCATGGGCCACACATTTCTGCCAATGGTGATCAGTTGCATTCCTCTGAGATTGTGGGTTTGAATCCTTGATGTGACCCATCCCGAAAATATTCGAATCTGAGATATACAGTGGAAACCCTCTAAACCGGCATTCGTTGGGACCGGATTGGAGGGCTGCCGGTTTAGGGGGGCTTCCACTGTACTAAGAAAGGTGATCCGAAATATATAACATATGTTACATCTTGAGTAAGTTTTCCACGAAATCTAGCTTTGATATCGTCATGTAGTTACACGAACAGACTGACATGGTATTGCCCACTAATTATCTGGGTGCCGTTGTGCAAAGCAGCCTTAGCAACGGCTGCCGTAAGACAAGGCGTGGGCGTTACGATTACCATAGCGCTAGTATAGAATTTTACAACGCCATGCTGACCTTTAGGGAAATGCTCTATCTGCGGGATTGTTTCTCAAGTTCAGAGAAAAGAATCAATTTCTTCGAACACTGATGGACAGACTTTGTATTCTTCTGTCCATTTTCATCAACTGAGAATATCTGTCTTTGATGCCTGCGGAAACATGCCGTGTATAAGGCTCAAATTCAGCCAGTAAACAGTGAACTCCGAAGTACTATACTTAATACATGCAAACTGTTTTTCCATCCTTCGTTGCCGGGCTCGGGAAGTTTCAGCCACGGTTCGTGCGGTTGAATGGGTAGATGGAGGATTTTAGGGAGAGCTTTCCTGATATAATGACATGAACATGGGTTGGGGCCTGTTTTCTAATGTTACAAATGTTTGGTGAAATACAGTACGTGTATGATGCTGACAACCTTAAGCATATTATGGGTGACTTGGGATTCTAAGCCACGATAATATAGACAGTGTAGTTTGGGGTTAAAGGCTCAAAGAACTAAGCTTCATTCACTTAGTACTAGCGGGCAAAACAAAGATGGCCGGGGTGATGCGAGGATGATAACGAACAGCGGATCCTGTCATGATAAGGGATGGAACGATAAAACTTGATTGTTTAAATCATAAGAGGAACATTTCAAACTTCTGGTGTCCCCCACCGTGACATTGCTGAAATATTGATAAATGCCGGCGTAAAACTGAACTCACTCAAAAGAGAGCGGTTTGGGAGCACTTTGAGGAATGTCTAAAGACACAGTGAAGGATGTTTCTTCAGAGAAGAAGTTATCACTGAACAAACATCTTGACCACCACGTGACCTGACCTCCACGTGGCTGCCCTGAGGGTGTAGCAGGTGATGAAGAAGGGAGACTCAACAGAAGGACAAGAGAGGGTGTATATTAATCCGCCACAAGGCCGTTCCCGCTAATTCCCTTCACTACCCGGGAGATTTAGTCCTATTTCACTATGCTGTACCTCGCGCTTCTAGCGATAATTGGTGAGTAGTTAAAAATCTTTGAAAATAGTATTCCTATTATAGTTTGGGTTTGAAGCTACTGTAGAAAGTAAGGCGCGTGTGAAGTTCGACATCTGACTAAAAAGCCTCAAGTGTTGGACTAGTAGCGGAATTAAAATACTTTTTAGTAAATTATTTTTGGGACAAAGGGAAAACAAATATTTTCACAGACACAAAGAATGAAACTTTACGTTACTTGTAATATACACTTGTAACTATGTGGAGAGGGCTTATTTAAGTTGGATAACTTGTGCCCAATCCGTTTCTTAATTGAATAAAATATGTTTCAATCAAATCTAAGACAAGTGAAATCGACGAGCGCTTTTATTGTGCTGACAAAGCCAGAGTCATAATTATGACGAACACCGGATTTCCGCTTCATTCACTGCATGAAAACAAAAGGTATACTCGTGTCCTACCTAAGTGTGAAACTGTTGCAAATGCCACGTCAGTCCGTTTGGCTCAAAAGCGGACCGATGAATTGCAATCTAACTCGAAAACTAATAAACATAACATACTCAATGAAACGCTGATCATAATCAAAACATCATACCAACTCTGTGAGGTTTTTGCAGAATTTGTGTCCTAAAAATAATAAAGTTATTTAACAAACTATCATTAAAATATTGACACAGTTCACTGTTTGTTACGAGGGAGGAGTGCAGAGAAAGAGAAAAATCTTTGAAAATAGTATTCCTAACTTTACGTTACTTTGAACAGGCTGCTGGATTCTGGTCGGTGTGGGTTAGGGCTGGAGTAGTGGAGATGGTCGGTGTGGGTTAGGGCTGGAGTAGTGGAGATGGTCGGTGTGGGTTAGGGCTGGAGTAGTGGAGATGGTCGGTGTGGGTTAGGGCTGGAGTAGTGGAGATGGTCGGTGTGGGTTAGGGCTGGAGTAGTGGAGATGGTCGGTGTGGGTTAGGGCTGGAGTAGTGGAGATGGTCGGTGTGGGTTAGGGCTGGAGTAGTGGAGATGGTCGGTGTGGGTTAGGGCTGGAGTAGTGGAGATGGTCGGTGTGGGTTAGGGCTGGAGTAGTGGAGATGGTCGGTGTGGGTTAGGGCTGGAGTAGTGGAGATGGTTCTCCAGACTAAAGTCCTGCAGCTTAGTAGGATACTGGTTGAGGAGCTTCAAACTTTGTACCCATATGGGGAATCGAACCCGGGTCTTCAGCGTGACGAGCGAACGCTTTAACCACTTGGCTACTCCACAGCTCCTATACTGGAGAAAGAAAGATCCACAGTAAGGATTATAAAGTTATGAAGATGACTGGATACCAATGAAACAGAAGAAATAGCTCATAGAACTGAATCATCTGCAGCATGTCTTCAGCATGCTCGGGGCGGTGGGGTTAAAACTTTACGCTCATGGGCACTTTACCCAATAGGCTACCCCACCGCCCCAAATGAATGAATGAAGAAAAGAAGGAAGGAACAGAAAGGTTATTTGAGTTCGACAAGTCATAACGTAACAACAAAACCCTTACGAACAACTTTTAGGAGTTGGCTGATCATGAGCAGCCAGAAATTGATATTGTGCTTTATTTACCAAACTAGATCATTTGTTCCTCACATGAGAACGAGTAAATGGTGGGAGGACACTACCAGGTACCGTTAGAATGTGTTACGCGACGGAAAATGACAGTTGTTCCGGTAATTCTGCATTTGCTCATGCCTTCTATACAGGCCATGGACATTTCCTCTGTTGTATTACAGTATCTCTAAACTTGTGATGATCCAGTTTTGAATTGGTTTTCAGCAACCTATGCTTCTTGTAAGGGGCGACTAACAGGATCGGGTGATCCCAATTGCATAGATCGGTGCTGATGTTCTTGACCAATGGATTGTCTGGTCCAGACTCGACTATTAACAGACCGCCATATAGCTGGAATATTGCTGAGTGCGGCTTTAAACAACAAACAAGCAAGGAAAGAAAGAAAGAATATCTCTAAATCCTCCAGCATGTGTGCGCTTGCATGCGCCCGTCTGAGACATTTTTTCCCACTACATTTGCAAAACTAGATACTTTTTATTTTAAACCAGCCTGCGCGTCCGCCCGGCCAGGTACCCGGATTTCTGGAGGAGCTCCACTGGCCCCCGGTGAGCTGCCCTACCTCGTCTCCGTGCAGCTCAACAGCTCCAACGTCTGGTACCACCTGTGTGGCGGCGCCCTCATCAGTGAGACCACGGTCGTCACTGCAGCTCACTGCATCTCTGGCTCGTAAGTCAATATAGAAATGACTGCATTAGCCCCCATATATATAGACCTTTGCTGTACCCTTTCTGCATCGTGGCGAGAATGATAGGGGTGGGTGTTGAGGTGGGGAAAGAGGAGTACATGTTTGTTTGAGAATATTTTTTCTCCTAAAACAATTTTAAATATTGTTCAGATTTGAAAACAAGCTATTTAGGTTTTCTCCCCTTCACTTAAAAATATGACAAAATTAAATATATCAAAACGGTCCAAGAACTGACTGTTACTTGAGATAGTTCGCTTGTCAATAAAAACACATTTTCTGCTACAAAATGGCGTTTTAGCAGTTTAAGATTAGATTGAGCTGCTGCTTTGATGACGTCACTTATCTCCCTTGTTCGAAATGATGCCTCAGTCAATGTTCAATTGTTCAGAGCCGCTCTCGTATGCAGTCTAAGTAAACTTAGGCTCAGTATTATTCGTTACACTGCTATACTGAGTCTAACAAAACCTAATAGCAGGTCGCGTCAGCTAACCTTTGAGTGACCTATGACCGTCCAATCAAACGCGAGACGTCCGAACGGATTTAACCAATCAGACAACGACTACTTGTTAGGGTTCGGCGGGACTTACAAAACGGTTTTTGGATTTTCTCTTCCATGGTCGCTGACACCGATCTATCAATAAACTAAAATCCGCATAAAACAGATATTTGACCAGCAGTATATACGCTCATGGGTTTCTAAATGACATGGTTACTATTTGCATATATTTTCGCAAGATGACACCCTTGAATATTGAGAAAAACGCTATTTTCAGCGACTGTTTACTCATTGCGTGTATCACTCGGAAGCGATCGTGCGGAAAATAGCATTCAGAATCGTTCGAGTTTTTAAGATAAAGGTATGTGCGAATGATAACTTTCGCGATTTGGTAAGCAGTGTTCTGATTGGTCAGTCCAAAAGGTTAGCTGACGCGACCTTCTACTAGGTTTTGTTAGACTCAGTATAGCAGTGTAACGAATAATACTGAGCCTAAGTTTACTTAGACTGATCTCGTATGGCGAGAGAGCTGCATTACGACATTTCATGAACAATTAATGAATGGTAGAAACAGGCAGGGCAATTTTGTTGATTTTCATTGATCCATTCTTAATTTCCACTGCTGTATTGCGTTTTGTGTCCAATGGAATCTATTCCGTCAGTGAATGAGTGAGTTGGGTTTTATGCCGCTTTTAGCAATATTCCAGCAATATCACGGCGGGATACACCAGAAATGGGGTTCACACATTGTATTCAAGTGGGGAATCGAACCCGGGTCTTCGGCGTGACGAGCGAAAGCTTTAACCACTTGGCTACCCCACCGCCCCCTATTCCGTCAGAAAACCAAGACTGATAGTGTTCGTTTGCCGATTTATATTTAAAGGGCAGCAGACTACCGTATCGTGCTGGGAGAATACAGCCTTAGTCAAGACGACGGGACCGAGGAGTACTCTTCTGTGGCCAGCTACGTCAGAGTAAGTGGGAATATTTAAAGGTATCCATCGAGCGATCATTCCAGTCGTTGCTTAAGCCAATGTTTACATGAGCGTGGTATTTGTAACGTCTTAAAGGGGTAGTTGTGGGAGTGTCTTTAGCGGAAGTGGAATGTGTGGCGTGTTTTCATCAAGTGTTAATGTAGGTCTTCAGGTCTTGAGTATGACTTTTTTTATGGCTGCAGGGTGTATTTGTGATTTGGACTTGAGCTCTCAGTCGGAGTCAGTATGGAGCGAGGTGTGAGTGTATGCGCGTGCGTGCGTGTGCGTACGGGTATGCATATTTTCGTGAATGTGTGTGTGTTGGCTGTTGGCGAATTATAGGGGCAGGTGTTTTCGTCCGTAAACATGTTCTTATTTCCTTTACACATGTGGGTCGGTGGGGTAGCCTAGTGGTTAAAAGCGTTCGCTTGTCACGCCGAAGACCCGGGTTCGATTCCCCACATGGGTACAATGTGTGAAGCCCATTTCTGGTTTCCCCCGCCGTGATATTGCTGGAATGTTGGTAAAATCGGCGTAAAACCAAACTTTCTCACTCGTTTTTTAACAGACCGCCATATAGCTGGAATATTGCTGAGTGCGGCTTTAAACAACAAACAAGCAAGGAAAGAAAGAAAGAAAGAAACAATATGTGTGCGCTTGCATGCGCCTGTCTGAGGTTTAATACAGCGAAATCTAGACATTTTCCCACTACAGTGGCAAAACCAGATACTTTTTATTTTAAAACCAGCCTGCGCGTCCCTTAACACATGTTCAAGTATTATTACAAACTATCGTTTACCCAGCCTTTGTCCCTTATGAGTCGTGCACTGCAAACATACCAGTGTACATATGTATAAGAGAACAACCAGTTTAGATTATGGGAATGGACTGATTTTGATGGTGTATTGAGACCCCTGTCCCCAACTACCACCCCTCTGCACCCGTCACTGTATGGTCGATGTACATCACTACATATAACAATATATATGCTGCAGTAAAATACAACGAATAAAGTACCGATTTAGTACAACATCATAACACCTAGTCGGTCTCATAGTCCCTGAACCACTTTATTTCCCTTCCGCCCAGCCCTATTATCACTAGGGGTGGGTATTGCAGGGAATTTTCGTATTGCGATATATTGCGATGCGAAAGCATGTATTGCGATATGTATTGCAATATATTGCAAGAATTATTTTTCAACAAAAACAACTTATAAATTGAGTTAATGCTTGATTTGTAAAGAAAAAACACAATGCTTGATTAGGCTTTAAGAAAACTTTTAATCATGGCAAAATATAAACGTAAATAATGTTTGGCACAAATGAAACAAGGAAAGGAACAATTTAAAAAACGGAAATATCCGAAGATTTCCGAGTGTTACGAAGTTTTCCGAATGCATGTCAAAATACCGGTTTTCGATCAGCGTATCTGAACCATGTCTGAACCGGTAAATACCGGTAAACCGGTTATATTGCGAAGCCCTAATTATCACTGCAAACATCTTAATGGAAGCAAGGCTAGATTTCCTCAGGTTCCGGTTCTCCCATCTCATTGGGCTCCTTTTCAAATAAAAAAGAATCATTTGTTTCTATTAACATTATACGGATTCAGAGACTAAGCGTTGTCTATTTAACCGCATCAAATACCAAATACACATAACACGGATTTTGAAGTACGTTTATGTGAGATTTGAGAACTTCTGTCACATTTTCATCTCAGTGCATTGCTTGGCGATACACCAACTGGTTTCGTTATTCTCAGCCTATTCATTTTTAGCATCCTGATTACAATGGCAACGCTGCTGGCTTCCCCAACGACATCACCATTGTTACTTTGGCAAACAACGTCAACACCAACAACAGCGCAATCGGCACCATACCCCTCGCTGACGCCGGTGCTGACTTCACTGGTCAGGATTGTACCATCTCTGGTTGGGGTAGCTTAGCGGGTAAGTTGTTTCATCACCGGTTGGTTCAGCTTTACTGGTGTGTTGTACAATCTCTGGTTGGTCTAGCTTTACTGGTGTGTTGTACATTCTCTGGTTGGTCTAGCTGTACAGGTGTGTTGTACAATCTCTGGTTGGTTTAGCTTTACTGGTGAGTTGTACATTCACTGGCTGGTCTAGCTTTACAGGTGAGTTGTACAATATCTGGTTGGTTAGCTTTACTGGTGAGTTGTACAATCTCTGGTTGGTTAGCTTTACTGGTGAGTTGTACAATCTCTGGTTGGTTAGCTTTACTGGTGAGTTGTACATTCTCTGGTTGGTCTAGCTTTAATGGTGAGTTGTACAGTAGCTGACTTTCTTGCTTTACTGGTGAGTTGCATATTTTCTCGTTGGTCCAGCTTTACTGGTCAGGTGTACATTCTCTGCAATTATCGTCCTCGTGGTTTCGTAGACTGTCAGGTTTAACTGAAGTCATGGCGATGCAAACTATAGAAATGATCCCTGTTTTACTGGTGAGATGAACAAATCTCTGGATGGTCTATCGTTACTGTTCATTTACATCATCCCTGGCCAGTGTGGACTAACCGCTCACTAGAGTCAGCTTTGGCCTCAACGTGTATAACATAGGTTTGGGTAATCTCGCCCAGGAATACACGCTGTTAAAATTTCGAACAGATGGCTCTGAGGGGACCCTAAAATGAGTTCGACACAACCGGGAACTCGACACATCTAGTTCGAGACATCAGGGTAAAGATAATGATAAATATAAGGAGATCGGCAGGGGCCGAGGGATGAGTTCAACACAACTGAGAATTTGTCTCAACCGAGTTCGAGATATTGGGGTTCGACTGTACCACACAACGCTGTCTTTGCAGGGTCAGTGGCACTGCAGGATACGCCGTCTAATGCCACGTTTCCTGCCATCTCCAACGCCGCCTGTACCAGCCTGTGGGCACCTGTCCCCGGCGTCGTCGTCCTCCCCAGCCACGTCTGCATGGTTGGTACTGCTGGTCAAGCCGCTTGTCACGTGAGTCCACCGATCTTCATCTTAGCTAGCTTTCAAACGTGGTAACACCTACACAATATTTGTGGCTTGTAAGTAAAAAATGAAACACTTTTGAATATACTCACGTTGTGTTTTTGGAAAATTATCTAAAAGCACCGGGTGTATACTTTCTTTTATACGTCAGTTTACAATGGTTACAAAAGTACTGAAAGGTTTATTATAGCAAATCGCCAAAATGGTAAAGTTATAACAACCAAAGCGCTTTTCTTACATGGAAATGTTGTACAACTCATTTTGTCTGTGAGTTCTTTTGGAATTTCTTTTTGACTTCTAATTTCAGATAAATATTTCCGCAAAAGAGGCAAGTTTCTTAATGCCTAGGGTATCCAATAGTTACAGATTTTACTATGACGTAAGGATTTAATTTGAATTAGATTAGCAGTCAGGTAATCTGTTCTGTTCTCCTCAACAGTACGACAATGGGGGGCCGATGGTGTGTAACGGCGTCCTTGTCGGACTCATCTCTTGGGGGGACAGCTCGTGCGAGGGGACGCTCCCTTCGGTCATGGCCAGTATTCCATACTTTCGCAACTGGATTGATGCAAACTAGGCGAAGCTCGTCGCCTACAGCGGGTATCTCAACAGCAAATTATTCCCGACAAAACAGATTTAGTTTTTCTTTTGATTAAAGATAACTTTTAAACATAAATTCCTTCTGTGTGCGATCCTTTATGCTTATTAAACACTCAACCCTTTTAAGTGTTTTTGATTTTATGCTTTCTTTGATATCACAGTTCACTTTTGCTACTACTACTTTTCGATGACGTCATCATACACAAGATAACACCAACAACTGCAACCAAAAATAACAATAGTAATAATAATGATGATAATGATAAGCGTAGTCGTGTTAACACTGCCTCTGCTGCTGATGATGACGACGACGGTGATGTTGAAGTTAATAATTATCCTAATTATGTTAGCCTTAATTGCTTTTGGCGTTTTCTGGTTGAGCGAGCCCAAGAAGTATTTTCTGTTAGAAACAGTTTCAGAAAAAAGGAAAGACAAATCAGATCAGGATTATACATGTACATAGGGCGCATGGCCCCGTTCCTCAAGGCGATCGTAGCGCTACGATGATCGTAACTCCCATACTTTAACATAGACTTACGACTGTCGTAGCGCTAAGATGATCGTAACTCCCATACTTTAACATAGACTTACGACTGTCGTAGCGCTAAGTTGATCGTAACTCCCATACTTTAACATAGACTTACGACTGTCGTAGCGCTAAGTTGATCGACTTTACGACTTACGATCGTAGCGCTAAGGTGATCGTAACTCCCATACTTTAACATTGACTTACGACTGTCGTAGCGCTAAGGTGATCGTAACTCCCATACTTTAACATTGACTTACGACTGTCGTAGTGCTAAGATGATCGTAACTCCCATACTTTAACATTGACTTACGACTGTCGTAGCGCTAAGATGATCGTAACTCCCATACTTTAACATTGACTTACGACTGTCGTAGCGCTAAGGTGATCGTAACTCCCATACTTTAACATAGACTTACGACAGTCGTAGCGCTACGATCGCTTTGAGGAACGGGGCCCTGGTCACAAGTCAGTTGATATTTAGCAACGTTGGTCGCGGACAGTCCTTGGATGGGTGACCGCGTTTGGTAGCTTGACCCCTGAGAGTTTCTAGGACCTCAGTCCTGCCCCACAACGAAGCAGTATTATTATTACATGAAACTCCACTGAAAATTAGATTTGACCAAGAAAAATATAATATCAAAACGGCTGAACAGAGTCACTGTTACATGGCTGAAATACTGCAAACTGAATGTCCTTAACAAATGATATCGGTTGAAAATCCTGATCGCAAAACATATCTTCTTTGTTTCATTTTTTGTCATCAAAGTTAGATCCAAATATCTTATCCTCAATAACGGCTGCCTTCATCTTGCCTTAATCTGACTGCCGCTGTTGTTTGTGCAGTTTTGCAGCAACATCAACACAACTGCACTGTCTGCATTCATGTCGAGCTAGCAATCACTGCATCTAGGTGCAGCTAAATACGATCGATATATTTAATGAGAAATCTATTGAAGGAGAAATACTCGGCCCTACAGCTTGAATACTGCATGTTGGATCTGGTGTGACGAAAACAAGGAAGTATTGACGGATGTAAATGTCAGTACGGTCATGCTGACTCGCGTGGTATTGACGTGTCAGGAAAAGTTGCTTTTGTGTCAGCTACGCACCAGGACCCGCTTAACGTGGCTGAATCCAAGATTCCCTCCTTTATTTTCTCAGGTGTGTCGGGGTGTCCTGATACACTATATTAACACCTGGAATATTAAACTATTAAATATTAGCTCTATAGGAACTCAATTATATGCAGTGAGTAAGTGAGTGAGAGAGGGTGGATGGATGAGGGAGTGAGTGAGTGAGAGGAATACAATGGTTTTAGGCCAGTTTTAGCAATATCCGGATGTTGAATGTTGGGCGGCTGTTGCCAAAAGCAAACTTAATGTTACGACTGTCGTAATCCTATGGTAAAATATGAGACTTACGATCACGTTAGCGCTACAACAGCACTGGTGTACCTATCCCCTTTCTTTGTCCAGAGGGGCGATGACGTAGCCTAGTGTTAAAGCGTTCGCTCGTCACCTGAAGGCACGGGTTCGATTCCTCACGTTGGTACAATGTGTGAAGCTCAATTCTGGTGTCCCCGGCAGTGATATTGCTGGAATATTGCTAAAAGCAGCGTAAAACCATACTCACTCACTTCTTTGTCCAGCAATGTACCACAGACAACCCATATTCTTGGGTAAAGGTTGACTGGGAGTGTTGGGTCTGACCACTGGGTTAGGGTGGGGTTAGTGTGTGTAATCTGATAGTAAATGACATCGCGACATCATTCCCTGGAAGCCATGATTGAGTCACAAACAAGTGAGTGAGTGTTGTTTTCCTCCTCTTTCCGGAATATCACACATTGCACCCATGTAGGGATCGAACCCGGGCCTTTGGCGTGACGAGCGAACGCTTTGACCACTAGGCTATCCCACTGCCCTGTCCAACCAAGGAGGAGTTAAGTCAATCCACATACATGCAGGCACGTGAAAGTGGTTGGTAACGCTTTTAACGTTCGACTGGATTGGGTACATCGTTTTGACTGACAACTTCTGAGATTGTACGACACTTCGTAATAGTTTGGTTAGAACATCACATGCTGTCGCATTGAGAAAACTGTTTTGCTGAGACAAGTAAATTAAGCAGGGGCTCAGTGACCTTTGGAAAATGAACAAACATGAGCAGCGAACATTGATCGATTACTTGCAGCAGGGATAATCATACAACTTATATAGTCTCCCTGCTTGCAGAAAGTACCACAACCATACGTGAAGACATGAGTACCACCCTAGGAAAGTATGCACTTCCTGTGCCACCCTCAATCAATCAATCAGTTTATTGCATGAAGGCCAGAGGCCCATATACAAAAGAAATATATATGATATGTACAACATATACAACATGCGACACACACGTTACATTGAATCTTTTTCAATATAAGCGTGTGATAAATAAATAGAGCTACCTTATATTGTAATAGGGATGCTATACATGAAAGTATGAATACAGTTTTGTAGCATTAATATTTGATTGTAGCCATTGTGGAAAATACAGGTGCCTTAAATCATTATATGCAGGACAAAGAAATAGAAAGTGTAATTCATGCTCTACAGTATTACACAATTGACAGAACCTTTGTGATTTTATAATAGATGAATATCTTCCTTGATTGATATATAAATCATTTAGGCCAAGTCTCAGGCGTATGAAAACATTACGTTAAACAGGTGGGCGGCAGTGTTGAAGCATGCAGAGGGACCCTGGAAGAGAAGCCCCCTTCCAGGAGGCGTGTGACGTTAGCAACACCAGAAATGACCCAGAGAATGCACGTCATATTGCTAGGCCAGCAGGCATTTCCCAGGAGAGAGTACATTCCATCATCACAGAAAGTTTGACAGTATAAAAAGTAACAGCTTGTTGGGTTCTCAAGGTTCTGGCATCAGGGGGCGGTGGGGTAGCCTTGTGGTTAAAGCGTTCGCTCGTCACGCCGAAGATCCGGGTTCGATTCACTCACTCACTCACTCTGACATCAAATCAAAACACGCGAGGCAAGCGTGTTTAGTGATAGTCTAGCTCTGTTTGAAAGTGGTCAGGAAAAGGTTGCTGCAACGTGTTTGGTTATGGATAAAAACTGGATTCACCGCTTCAAGACGCGGGGGCGGGGGTGGGGTTGGGAAGGGATGTAGATTTCCAACATGACAATGCACCAGTACACAAATCAGTCAATACCACAATCCACAATGCATTCCACAAATGTGGCTTTGAAAACGAAACATATACCAACTTAATGTCTCTAGATCAAGTCAGGACACAGAGATACAATCGACCAGACCTTGTAAATAGTTTTCCAGTTAACCGGGCTGGGCAACACAGACGTTGATTCCAAAGATTCCAGTTCGATTCCCCATGGAAGTATAATAAGCAATAATCAACGAAGTCAACCTCATTAGGGCCTCTAAGACTGAAGTATTGCTGTAAGTGGCATAAGACTCTACACACTGTATATGATTCGGAATGTCTTGTTATTGAGACCCACACTTATATCTCTGTACACATGTGCCATTCCCATCTTGAAGATGGACCTATATACTTAATACTGGTCATAAATTAATCCACTGTAAACATAGTGTATGTTTGTGAAAGGCAAGACGTTATGATATATAACATGAAGTTTAATAAGAAATTCGGGACAAAGTACATGTATATTGTGGGCTTTTGCAGTGTTGTTCATTTTTTTTTCAAAACACGAGTCATATACAACCTCGGCTGAAACAAGTCTGTGTCTGAATATGGAAAGAAATGTTGGGACTCAACAGATGGACAAGAGAGAGTATATAATAACCTGCCATCATTTAGTTCTCGCTAATTCACGTCCTTAGTTGCGAGATTTACAATACCAGGTTCCATAAGGTTTCGCCATGCTGTACCTTGCGCTCATAGTGATCTTTGGTGAGTAGTCACGTAAGAATTGAAATTGAATAATCATCTTTAAGTTGAGTTATGTATCCAAGGAAATACATTGTTCCCTGGTTGAGTGTGCTGGGTGTGGTTTTAATGCCATTTCGAACAGTGTTTAAATTTTGTCATTACGGGTCAGCTTGATAGAGTCCGGTGAGGTGAGGTGAAATTGGGTTTTACGTCGTGCTTGAGAATATTTCGCTCATATGACGACGTGCATGCGTGTGTATACGTATGTGTATGTGCGGCTGCTTGTACTAGCCCAGGCTTAAGCTGGTTTTATAGTGCCAGCCCACTGAGATACCATGCCGCAGTGAAGCATGAATACCCCACTCAGACACATTATACTGACTCCGAGCCGACCAGTCCGTGTTGTACCCATTAATGCCGAGCGCCAGGCAGGGACCAACAAGTACCATATTTTAACGTCTTTGGTATGACGCGACCGGGGATCGAATCCGCGACCTTCCGCACTCCGGGCGGATGATAAGTCCGGCTGTGATGCGGGTCTCAGACTAACTGACTGACTGAGTATGGTTTTACGCCGCTTTTAGCAATCTTCCAGCAATATCACGGGACACCAGAAATGGGCTTCACATATTATACCCATGTGGAGATTCGAACCCGGGCCTTCGGTGTGACGAGCGAACGCTTTAACCACTGGGCTACCCCACCGCCCCATATCATGGTCTCAGGCGTTAACCACATTAGTGAAACGCTCCACCATTGGCTCAGACAAACCTTATAACATATTTGGGAAGTACCGGGATTCGAACCCGATCATAATTTGCTGTACTGAAAGGACGTAACTAAGACCAGGGACAGGCAGATTTGTATAACATTTTGGACAATTGACTCATTGTTCCTAACCATGTGTTGTTGAAAAGTAAATTTTATACACATCGGGTCGAATGTCATAAAAACTGTATAAAAATTGTTTCCTTTCTTTCTCAAGAAACAGACAAATAAACAAATAATGGTATACAGATAGTTTACGAGCTATATTTCTCCCACAACCAGTTTTAATAGGCACATTATGGTTAAGTTCTAAACTTAAGCAAGACCCGCCAAACGTTTTCCCGCAGTACATTTGAGTAATATTCAAAATTTAGACCATCTTTTTTGTGATACATTAAATTGTGCCTTTTGAAGGCGTATCTTCAGTTTTCTGGAATAATGTTCAAAGCTGCATTAGCGCACGTTCACTGTCGTGTAATGTATCTACAGGCTGATATCCCATCTGCACTAGACACAAGGAAGAATGATTATAATGTGCCAGCTAGTTTATTATACTGAAACAACATTTACAAACAACATCTCGCTTACCTTCATCACCAGTGTTTGGTTTGATGAAGATCCGGTTTACACCTGGCCTCCAGCAACCCATGCTTGCATATCATGTGTTTCGATGGTCAATCAAGTTCATGTACATGTCAAGTCAATTCAGTTGATTGATTGATCAATCAATCGATTACCCTTGAAGCTCCGGGTTAGAATTGGTATTCAGCAACCCATGCTTGTCGTAAAGGAAGACTAACGGGATCGGTGGCCAGATTCGATGACGTGTTTGATGCAAGTGGTCGTATTCCAATCAATCTGTGTCGATGCTGTCAATCACTGGAGTGCTCTAGACTAGAATAGTTACAGACTGTTTTGACATAGCTGGAGTGCTTCGTTAGACAAGTTTGTTTGTATATTCTCGGCTTTTCCCACCCCAGGCTGCGCGTCCGCCCGACCAGGTACCCGGATTGCTGGGGGGACTCCTCTGGCCCCGGGTGAGCTGCCCTACCTCGTCTCCTTGCAGCTCCATAGCTCCAACGTCTGGTACCAACTGTGTGGCGGCGCCCTCATCGGTGACACCAGGGTCTCACTGCAGCTCACTGCATCTCTGGGATGTAAGTTGTTGATACTGATTCACGTGGGTTAGTGAGGGAAGGATGGGATGGGTCAACGGGTCTAATGCTAATGAAAAGGTTTAAAAAGTGTGGAAAGAATATCAACATTGAAACGTCCCCTTTTTACTGGGAATAAGCATGATCACTTTTTAAAACACCATATGGTTCCTGAATTATTACAACCTGAAAAATATCTAAACGGAGAAAAGTTAATTTTAACATTTTTTGCATTAAATTTTATACAGAGGGAGATCTATGTAAATACTGATGAAAGTGTCAATGTAGGTTAAGGTCACTTGTTCGTTAAAAGCCTCCGAGAACACGACAATGTCCTTTCTAGGATTCCACGCGTGTGCATGTATAGCCGCTGTTGCTATTTCATAACAGGAAAAATAGAAAACTTTGTAACATCTAAAAGAGACATTCATGAAAGAAGACATAAGTATACCTCAATACTTTAACTAAAGATAAACGTTGATGCTAGCTGTTTCCATACCGTGGTGTAACTGAGTCGGGAGCAGAAGAGTGACTAAGTGAGTTTTGTTATACGCCGCACTCAGCAATGATCGATGCTCATGCTGTTGATTGCTGGATTTTGTGGTCCATACTCGATTATTTACAGACATATAGCTGGAAAATTGCTGTGTGAGGCGTGAAACTAAACTCACTCACTCACTCAAACTACAAACTGATTCCAGAGCCTCTGACTACCGGGTTGTCTTGGGTGAACACAGTCTCAACTTGGTGGATGGAACCGAACAGTATATCACTGTGCAGAGTTACATTATAGTGAGTATATAACGCCAATATAGTCAGTATTGATAGTTACACAAGTAGCGAATAACGTCTATTGGGAGGTTTTAGCAATATTCCAGCAATATCAAGGCCGGGGACACCAGAAATGGGCTTGACACATTGTACCCATGTAGGGAATCGAACCCGGGTCTTAGGTGTGACGAGCGAACGCTTGAACCACTAGGCCACCCCTCGTTTATCTGGAACGCATCGGGAACCCATAGCTGTAAAATAGCGGGGTCACACTATAGCGAGTAGCCCCAGTGAGTGAGTGAGTGTGGTTACACAATAGCGAGTAGTCCAAGTGAGTGAGTGAGTGTGGTCACACAATAGCGAGTAGTTCCAGTGAGTGAGTGAGTGTGGTCACACAATAGCGAGTAGTCCCAGTGAGTGAGTGAGTGTGGTCACACATAGCGAGTAGTCCCAGTGAACGTGGGAGTGAGTGAGTGAGTGAGGTTTTACGCTGCTGTTATCAATATCCCACCAATATTACGGCGAAAGGGACATCAGAGATGGGCTTCACACAATTTAACAAAGTGAGGAATCGGGTCTCCGGAGTGACGAATACATGTATTAACCACAAGGCCAGTAAACGACAGAAACGTGTGTAGGCACAGGTACATAATTTCGAGACCTGCTCATTGTTTGTAGGCAATGGATGGCGGAAGACACCAGAAATGGGCTTCACACATTGTACCCATGTGGGCAATCGAACCCAGGTCTTCGGCGTAACGAGCGTGCGCTATAACCACTAGGCTACCCCACCACCCGTAAAGCCATAAAGTGAACAGGCACATCAAATGAACAATTATGGCCTCCTATTTCTGTTTCAGTACCCCGACTACAACGGCAACGCTATCGGATTCCCAAACGATGTCGCTGTGATTCATTTGTCACAAAACGCCGACACAACCAGCGCCTTCATCTCCACCATCCCCATTGCCAACCACGGGGACGACTTCACGGGAGTGGATTGTACTATCTCTGGTTGGGGTAGCTCAGCTGGTGAGTTGTACGATCACTGGGTGGAGTAGCTCAACTGGTGAGTTGTACCATCTCTGGGTGGAGTAGCTCAACTGGTGAGTTGTACCATCTCTGGGTGGGGTAGCTCAGCTGGTGAGTTGTTCCATCTCTGGGTGGGTAGCTCAGCTGGTGAGTTGTACCATCTCGGGGTGGAGTAGCTCAGCTGGTGAGTTGTACCATCTCTGGGTGGGGTAGCTCAGCTGGTGAGTTGTACCATCTCTGGGTGGGGTAGCTCAGCTGGTGAGTTGTACCATCTCTGGGTGGAGTAGCTCAGCTGGTGAGTTGTACCATCTCTGGGTGGGGTAGGTCAGCTGGTGAGTTGTACCATCTCTGGGTGGGGTAGCTCAGCTGGTGAGTTGTACCATCTCTGGGTGGGTGGAGTAGCTCAGCTGGTGAGTTGTACCATCTCTGGGTGGGGTAGCTCAGCTGGTGAGTTGTACCATCTCTGGGTGGGGTAGCTCAGCTGGTGAGTTGTACCATCTCTGGGTGGGGTAGCTCAGCTGGTGAGTTGTACCATCTCTGGGTGGGGTAGCTCAGCTGGTGAGTTGTACCATCTCTGGGTGGGGTAGCTCAACTGGTGGAGTGTAAGATCTCTGGGTTGGGTAGCTCAACTGGTGAGGTGTACCATCTCTGGGTGGGGTAGCTCATCTGGTGAGTTGTACGATCTCTGGGTGGGGTAGCTCAACTGGTGAGTTGTACCATCTCTGGGTGGGGTAGCTCAACTGGTGGAGTGTAAGATCTCTGGGTGGGGTAGCTCAACTGGTGGAGTGTAAGATCTCTGGGTGGGGTAGCTCAACTGGTGAGTGTAAGATCTCTGGGTGGGGTAGCTCAACTGGTGGAGGTGTAAGATCTCTGGGTGGGGTAGCTCAACTGGTGGAGTGTAAGATCTCTGGGTGGGGTAGCTCAACTGGTGGGAGTGTAAGATCTCTGGGTTGGGTAGCTCAACTGGTGGGGTGTAAGATCTCTGGGTGGGGTAGCTCAGCTGGTGAGTTGTACCATCTCTGGGTGGGGTAGCTCAACTGGTGAGTTGTACCATCTCTGGGTGGGTAGCTCAACTGGTGAGTTGTACCATCTCTGGATGGTGTAGCTCAACTGGTGAGTTGTACGATCTCTGGGTGGGGTAGCTCAACTGGTGAGTTGTACGATCTCTGGGTGGGGTAGCTCAACTGGTGAGTGTGTCTGGGTGGGGTAGCTCAACTGGTGGAGTTGTACCATCTCTGGGTGGGGTAGCTCAACTGGTGAGTTGTACCATCTCTGGGTGGGGTAGCTCAACTGGTGAGTTGTACCATCTCTGGGTGGGGTAGCTCAACTGGTGAGTTGTACCATCTCTGGGTGGGGTAGCTCAGCTGGTGAGTTGTACCATCTCTGGGTGGGGTAGCTCAACTGGTGAGTTGTACCATCTCTGGGTGGGGTAGCTCAACTGGTGGTTGTACCATCTCTGGGGTAGCTCAACTGGTGAGTTGTACCATCTCTGGGTGGGGTAGCTCAGCTGGTGAGTTGTACCATCTCTGGGTGGGGTAGCTCAGCTGGTGAGTTGTACCATCTCTGGGTGGGAGTAGCTCAGCTGGTGAGTTGTACCATCTCTGGGTGGGGTAGCTCAGCTGGTGAGTTGTACCATCTCTGGGTGGGGTAGCTCAAGCTGGTGGAGTTGTACCATCTCTGGGTGGGAGTAGCTCAGCTGGTGAGTTGTACCATCTCTGGGTGGAGTAGCTCAACTGGTGAGTTGTACCATCTCTGGGTGGGGTAGCTCAGCTGGTGAGTTGTACCATACCATCTCTGGGTGGGTAGCTCAGCTGGTGAGTTGTACCATCTCTGGGTGGGGTAGCTCAACTGGTGAGTTGTACCATCTCTGGGTGGAGTAGCTCAACTGGTGAGTTGTACCATCTCTGGGTGGGGTAGCTCAACTGGTGAGTTGTACCATCTCTGGGTGGAGTAGCTCAGCTGGTGAGTTGTACCATCTCTGGGTGGGGTAGCTCAGCTGGTGAGTTGTACCATCTCTGGGTGGGGTAGCTCAACTGGTGAGTTGTACCATCTCTGGGTGGGGTAGCTCAGCTGGTGAGTTGTACCATCTCTGGGTGGGGTAGCTCAGCTGGTGAGTTGTACCATCTCTGGGTGGGGTAGCTCAACTGGTGAGTTGTACCATCTCTGGGTGGGGTAGCTCAGCTGGTGAGTTGTACCATCTCTGGGTGGGGTAGCTCAACTGGTGAGTTGTACCATCTCTGGGTGGGGTAGCTCAGCTGGTGAGTTGTACCATCTCTGGGTGGGGTAGCTCAGCTGGTGAGTTGTACCATCATCTCTGGGTGGGGTAGCTCAGCTGGTGGTGAGTTGTACCATCTCTGGGTGGGGTAGCTCAACTGGTGAGTTGTACCATCTCTGGGTGGGGTAGCTCAACTGGTGAGTTGTACCATCTCTGGGTGGGGTAGCTCAGCTGGTGAGTTGTACCATCTCTGGTGGGGTAGCTCAACTGGTGAGTTGTACCATCTCTGGGTGGAGTAGCTCAACTGGTGAGTTGTACCATCTCTGGGTGGGTAGGGTTGTACCATCTCTGGGTTGGGTAGCTCAACTGGTGGGGTGTAAGATCTCTGGGTGGGGTAGCTCAACTGGTGGAGGTGTAAGATCTCTGGGTTGGGTAGCTCAACTGGTGGGAGTGTAAGATCTCTGGGTGGGGTAGCTCAGCTGGTGAGGTGTACCATCTCTGGGTGGGGTAGCTCAACTGGTGGAGTTGTACCATCTCTGGGTTGGGTAGCTCAACTGGTGGAGTGTAAGATCTCTGGGTTGGGGTAGCTCAACTGGTGGAGTGTAAGATCTCTGGGTTGGGTAGCTCAACTGGTGATCTCTGGGTGGGGTAGCTCATCTGGTGAGTTGTACGATCTCTGGTTGGGTAGCTCAACTGGTGAGTTGTACCATATGTGGGTGGGGTAGCTCAACTGGTGGAGTGTAAGATCTCTTGGTGGGGTAGCTCAACTGGTGGAGTGTAAGATCTCTGTTGGGTAGGTCAACTGGTGGGTAGCTCAACTGGTGAGGTGTACCATCTCTGGGTTGGGTAGCTCAACTGGTGAGTGTAAGATCTCTGGATGGTGTAGCTTGGGTAGCATCTCAACTGGTGAGTGTAAGATCTCTGGTGGAGTAAGCTCAGCTGGTGAGGTGTAAGATCTCTGGGGTGGGTAGCTCAACTGGTGAGTTGCTCATCTCTGGGTGGTGTAGCTCAACTGGTGTGTAAGATCTCTGGGTTGGGTAGCTCAACTGGTGGAGGTGTAAGATCTCTGGGTTGGGTAGCTCAACTGGTGGAGTGTAAGATCTCTGGGTTGGGTAGCTCAACTGGTGGGGTGTAAGATCTCTGGGTTGGGTAGCTCAACTGGTGGGGTGTAAGATCTCTGGGTTGGGTAGCTCAACTGGTGGAGTGTAAGATCTCTGGGTTGGGTAGCTCAACTGGTGGAGTGTAAGATCTCTGGGTTGGGTAGCTCAACTGGTGGGTGTAAGATCTCTCTGTGGATCTCTGGGGTCAGCTCAACTGGTGGGGTGTAAGATCTCTGTGTTGGGTAGCTCAACTGGTGGGGTGTAAGATCTCTGGGTTGGGGTAGCTCAACTGGTGGGGTGTAAGATCTCTGGGTTGGGTAGCTCAACTGGTGGGGTGTAAGATCTCTGGGTGGGGTAACTCAACTTGTGAACTGTACCTTCTCTGGGTGGGGTAGCTCAGCTGGTGGGGTTACGATCTCTGGGTGGGGCTTGCCCAGCTGGTTGGTTGTATTTTCTGTGTCTGGTGTAAGTTTACTGGTGAATATATCTCTCTGGTTGGTTTAGCTTTACTGATGGGTTGTACCGTCTAAACTGGTTGACCTCACTGGTAATTTGGTGAGCTACACTTACACTTTTCTCGCAAAGTATTGCTGTCGTTGCAGGGTCGGAGGAGTTGAAGGACACCCCGTCCAAGGCCACGTTTCCCGCCATCTCAACGCCGCTTGTGTGAGTCTGTGGGCACCCGTACCCCACACCTTAATCTACCCCAGCCACGTCTGCATGATGGGCACCGCTGGGGAAGCCGGGTGTCACGTGAGTTTAATATTACATGACATGATATGACCACGTGCACATTCCGACTTGTTGTTTAATTGACAGGGCAGGTGCTGTTTCCACTGCGACGTGATCTTTGGAGACACGTTGGAATGAGGCGCACAGAGCTACGTCCCTTAGATGCTAGGAGTTATTCGTGACCAACTCGTGTTATTCCGGGACATTCCGAATAGCGACTCCATTCGTGACCAACTCGTGCTATTCCGGGTCAAGCCGAATAGCGACACGTGCCCTTCTGGAAGGATTTCATATTGGCGCATGAACATCAGAACTACTTAAACAAGAACGATAATTCCTTTCCTGTTTGACTCCACGAGATTGTCACGAATGGAGTTGGTCACCAATGCGGCAAAATGTGTAGTAAGAGAGGCAACTCTGTACGCCCTGTCCAAGACTGCAAAGAGCCAAACATGATGCATCAATTCACGCGGAATAGACCCTTCAATGGTTAAATTGCCCTGGACTGCAGTTTGTAGCAAACGAATCAGATAAATATGTCAAAGAACCTGAATTACGAAGATCATAGCTCAATTCAGGAGCACACCAGCACGCAAAGAAGAAAGTATAGCTGTCATTTTGTGGAAATGATTTGATTTGAGAAATAAATTGCAGTCGCCTGGATTTAAGGTTATCCGCTGTCATAAATACTAACAGTATCGTGGGTTGGTGAGTGAGTAATGCCGTTTTGAATAGCATTTCCTTATATCATGGCACGTAGGGTTGATGAGAGAGAAAGCCAAAAGTGAATGAGTGAGCGAGTGAGTTGGGTTTTACGCCGCTTTCAGCAATATTCTAGCAATGCCATTGCGGGGTACACCATTGAACCCATGTAGGGTATTGAACTCAGGCCTTCGGCGTGACGTCCGAACACTTTAACTACTGGGCTATCCCACCGCCAAGCGATGTTTAGAATCACAGAGTAGGTGAATCTTCGATCATAGCATTACGGCATGCCAACTATCCACTACTTGAGGAGAAACAGCCTAGATTCAATTAAAATTTCAACCTAATATCTTACTTAAGTGTTAATATTCCAACACAATATCACATGCTAAATGCTTCATATTGAGTGTTTTGTATAATTTACTATTGGATGTAATTTAACTATATGACGTCGTTGATTTAATTTTTTCTACGCCGACAGTACGACAACGGGGGACCGATGGTTTGTAACGGCGTCTTAGTGGGTGTATTCTCGTGGGGAGAGAGCACGTGCCAGGGGAAGCTGCCCTCCGTCATGACTAGCGTCCCTTTCTTCCACCGCTGGATCATAAACCACTAGGCGACGCTGGACGCCTGCAGCAGACAGGGCACTCGTCCTTCCGATAAAATTCCTGTCCACGTTATAAAGCTGTTGTTGCCTTTCATCCTCTTGTCTTCTCTCTTTATATAGGGGAGGATAAATGTTAGTTATAATTATCTTACCCCACACATAAACGTCGTTTTCTGATTGGCTGAGCGCTCTTCTATTAGCGACCGTTCCTAATTTATGTCTAGTACATGCTGGGAACGAACTGTGGGAATTCATTTGGTACTTCGTGTTAGTAATTCTTTATCTCGAATACTTGAGACACGTATGGTGTACGGAAATGACCGATGTTTTGCGAATGCAAATCGATGGACGGAGATGACTCTAAATTTTCTTGTTTGTCGTTGTCGGTATTGGCTAATTGCCTAACTCTGGCACTCCTCATTATGACCCAATACCCGTGCTTCAAACAGTTCAAAATGAATATTGAGGTGTTCGGTAAGATAATTTCGGGTTCAGGAGCATAACCAAACATAGAGGGCACATCAACTCATGTGACCCTCATGACCTGTGAACAACTTCTATTGTTCTCCCTTTGATGAATATTTAGCATTACATTAAATCTATACTAACAGCATTAACGTTGGTATGTTCAGGAGATGCCTTCGAGAATCCACGTATCCTATACCAGTATGAGAGTGAGTGAGTCAGTTTCGTTTCACGCCGCTTTTAGCAATATTCCAGCAAAATCACTTCGGGGAACACCGGAAATGGGCTTACCCATGTGCGGAATCAAACCCGGTTCTTCGGCGTGACGAGCGAACTCTTTGGACAACTTGGCTACCCCACCGCCCCATTATACGGGTATAACCATTACATTGCTCATTATACATATTTCCTTATTAGTAGCGTAGGCAAATTCGAGCATTTGCAACACTTCTTAACAATAGACGTCGTTCTACCATTAAGCCAGTGAACATCGCCTAGCTTAATCAATTATCATCTGACGAAGGAGCAGGAAGTAGCTCTGAAACGTCGTATAAAGAATGAAAAGAACTTGTTTTCAATAAAACGTGTCATGTATTCGTAAATGAGTTAGTTGCATTTTACGCCTCTTATTTACAATACTCTAGCAATGTCACGGTGGTGGACATCATAAATGGGCTTCACACATTGCACCCATGTTGGTAATCAAACACGGGTCTTAGGGTTGACGAGTGCGTGATTTAACCACAAGGCTACCCCACCTGATTTGTGACCTGAGCTCTATGCACAGGACCACACACCACTACGTGAAATATAGTTTTACGTCGCTTTTGGCAATATTCCAGCAATATCACGACTTTTATATGTTACAGTCAATCTGTCAAACCAGTCATTTGCACAAATGCCGACAAACTATCGCGGATTTTATAGTGCTTGGCTTCTTCCTTACATATACTGGACAAAAATAGTTAGGGATATATGTAAATTTTGAAATTATGAATAATAATCTAATTATTCATTGACACACTGATAAAATATCAATCATAAAAATATCAATATCCCTAACTTATTTTGTCCAGTATATGTGATGTCCGTGTCTGAAGGTTAGTAACTTTGAAATATATTTCTCCGATTGTTTGGTTCGATTTATTCACCAAAATGAAACAAAATGGTATTTCCAAATGTTCCCATCATTTACAGCAAGGCTGGGCTGTTTACTGTCGGGGTTCGAGGTTAAAGGTGACCCAGACGGGAAAGTGATCACTGACAGCCTTTTGCTGAAAAGGAAAATACAATACAATATTCTCAGTACAAACAGAATGGATCAGGTTGCCATGGTAACTGTACTCTGATGGAGTTAGTAAATTTTTACACTGCTTTTAGCAAAATCACGGCGGGGACACCAGAAATAAGTTACGTACATTGTACCCATGTGGGGGAATCAATCCCGGGTTTTCGGAGTGACGAACTCGGGTTTGAACCCAGAATCCCGAACAATGTTGATAATGTTGATGGTGAAACGTAACTGGAGCCTGTTCCACAGTCCCTGAGCCACATTATTTTCCCTTCCGCCCAGCCTTTCCTGCAATAGGACCCGTAAGTCTCGCGAGGCGCTACTTCCGGTAATAGATTTCCTGCGACATGTATGTATTCAAGAACCAGTTCTGGTTCCAAATTGCGCGACCGCCAAATATGACTTTACTAGACTGGACCAAGTGTACTATTACGCTTGGCTGCACAGCTATTGGCAGATATGCACCTGTTATTTATGCAACATAGTCCAAGTGTTTTTGTAGCCTGATGCATGTCATAGTTTTCTGAGTCAGACAGCGGGTGTCGTGTATGTCTAGCCAGGACATGCCCCTTGTAACAGTGCTATCGCCATTACCGTAAAACGTTCTTTGTCACCGGAAGTACTAAATTCTCGCAAAGTGTCGTGACCTACTTACGGGCCCTATGCTAAAGCCTTAAATTAAGTCAAGATTTCCCATCTGAATCTCCTGATTTTCAATTTAAAAGGACTTATTTGTTATTCTCAAAATTAAATATTTTCAGAGACTAAGCGTCTGTCTAATGTAACTGTGATCAAGTTAGTATTTTTGATATTGTATCTTTTGGGAGTGAAAGCATTACTAGAAAAACGAGAAAACTAGATTTGTAGACCAAAGAATTTAAGGATTTAAACACGATGTCAAGTCATTCTTTTGTGTTGTGTCATCGTGTCGAGTTGTGTCAATTCTTTCGAGATCGTATCCCAATTGCGGAGATTGCAATTGAAGTTCATGCTGTTGATTCCTCTGTTGTCTGGTCAAGACTCGACTATTTACACACCGCCGCCATATATCTGGAATATTGCTGAGTGAGGCGTAAAATCCGAGTCAGGCTATGTCATTCTGTCATGTCGTATCAACCTGTTTTGTGGTATCATCATGATACTTCCTATGAGATATCATATCTTGATAGGACGTGTCTTATTGTGTCATAGTCTGATGCCATGTTGTAATGCAGAGTGATGTGTCAATCTTCATATCATATATCATGTTATGTCATTCTCATGTCATGTCATGCTGCCAAGCAGGGTATTATTGTGTCATCTCGTTGGTCCTCCTCTGTTGTGAAGGCGGTGGGGCAACCTAATGGAACAAACGTTCGCTAGTCACACCGATTCCCCACATAGGTTACAATTGAACGGTGGGGTATCCCAGTGGTTAATGCGTTCGCTGGTCACGCCGAAGACCCGGGTTCGATTGCCCACATGGGTACAATATGTGAAGCCAATTTCTGGTGTCCCCCGCTGTGATATTGCTGGAATATTGCTAAAAGCCGCGTAAAACTAAACTCACTCACTCACTCCTCAGTTGTGAGTTGAACCTACCTGTTCTTGTGTGAGCCCAAACTCAGCCCCGAAGTCCTCCCTTTGATAGGCTACCACGTGACTTTCCAACTCAGGACCAGCTATGACGATCCTGGAGGAAAAGATGAAGGCAGACTGTCAGTCAAATATCCATTAACGTTCAATGACAAAATAATACCATTATTCATTTCACCTGTAGCCTTGAAAGTGAAATATGTTTTAAAATATTTTAATTTTTTTTTTCTTAACTCCGGCTACAAATAGAAACCTGTCAAGATATGTATTGGTTGATTTGAAATATTATATATACCGCCTTCGTGGTGTAGTGGTTAGAGCGTCCGCCCGGAGAGAGGAAGGGTGCGGGTTCGATCCCCGACCGCGTCATACCAAAAGACGTTAAAATATGGTACTTGTTGGTCCCCGCCTGGCGCTCGGCATTAATGGGTACAACAAGGACTGGTCGGCTCGGAGTCAGTATAATGTGTCTGAGTGGGGTATTCATGCTTCACTGCGGTATGGTATCTCAGTGGGCTAGCACTATAAAATCAGCTTAAGTCTGGGCTAGTACAAGCAGCCGCACATACACATACACACGCATGCACGTCGTCATATGAGCGAAATATTCTCAAGCACGACGTTAAACCCAATTTCACCTCACTTTGAAATATTATAGTTATAATCCATTCAATACCCGACTTAGGGAGCATGAATCTAGCAAATGACATGACATGCATGGACCAAGTCAGTCAACTTGACCACCCGGTGCCATAATTCGCATTTTGGTTCCTAACTGGATCAGTTAAAGCATGCCTCTTCCCTGTTCCTAGACAATGAGGTTTCAAATGACAAAACCTTTCAGTCCCATATTTATTTACATGGGACACAGAGAAAATGCGCATGTCTTACTGGAGATCTCTCTCTATATATTTTATATATGTAGGTATGACGTCAGCCCTCCTCCTCCTCATCGTAATTGTTATTATTCAAGATATACAATACAGATGTATGGAATGCGCACAATGACAGGGCGAGTTGCAATTCAGGCAGCTTTGCACTGAATTTCTGTAATATTTCTGTCTTATCAGTTAAATATGTAAGGGCGTATTCGGGACTCGAAACCATGATCAGTGGATACTGTCACGCCCAAGGGACGCAACTCAGCACACAGGAAAGGTGAACCATCTGCACTCTCTAGTAACAATAACAACAGCCAGGCAAAACCAACACCGAAGTGTTCACGCACCTGTCATAGGCGCAGTCGGTGTCAGAAGTCGTGGTGTCGACAACGTCACTGATCAGGGACCAAAAGGTCTTGGTGTCGTTGAATAGTTTAATGCTTGCCATTTCGGATTTTTTGACGTAGCTGCAGTCGGCGTTCATGTCGCCCATGATGACCACGTTCTGAAACAGCAAGGAGTGTCGGTAACCAAGTTGATATTTCGTTCTTCCTACTATCCATGGTAAATATTTCGGTTAACGATTCCCATTTTTTAATCTTTTTTCCCCATCTATTTAAAAATGCTTATACCCCTCGGCAATAGACCCTCACCCTAGAACACCGTTCAGCACCTTAGAGTGCCTTTATGTTAAACCATATAGTACGCGATACAAATTTTGCATATTATCATTATTCAGTATAGTTTATATTGTTAAGGGCACAGAATTCAGTTTGTTTTTTATAAAAGTAACGCCCTTGAACATCGCACTGAATGAAAATTAACAAACAAACATTGATTAACGATGGCGGGTACAACACGTTTCATGAGAAATATGTGATGTGGGTGTCAGAAAATCCAAGATGGACATATTAGATCAGTAACAGCCATCTTGGATTTTTGCTGACGGTATACCGACTAATATGGGGTATGTTGTTCTGCTCTCTGGTTGGTCAATCTCACTTTCATTCATTATATAACTGTTTACATAAAACAGGCACCACTACAATGAAGTAATGACAATACTTCAATAGTCAACAGACTATAGACCACGGGTAGAATAGCAACACGTCTGTGAATAATGACAGTAACTGTTAAGTGAACAAGAAGATGACCATCTAATAATTATTTTGCTCCGGGACTGAAATATGAATGATGTCGTGTTTCTGTGTGTTATAACATGTAACGTCACAGGCTGATTAGTCCGACGACGTCAAAGAGGTATCTTTACCTCTGTGCCGAAGGCGTCCTTGGTGTCAATGTAGACAGCTTTCATGGCTTGTAACTCATGGACGGCATCGTCAGGTCTGATGTGGACGCCAGTCAGAGCCATTCTCAGAACACCTGTCAGTTGATAACGTTATCAGGTAGTGCTAAAGGTGCAACACATTACATTCATAGAAACCTTTAACAATTAAGTGGAATAGGACCATTTTGACTATATAAGTTTACCCAAAGTCATTCTTGCATTAGAGTTGTTCGAAGGGAGTTATCTTGTACCTCTCTCAGGACACTTTAGATCTTTACCTGTGCCACTCTCTCTATCTGTACATATATCACATCTGGGTTAGAATTGGTCTTCAGCAACCCATATTTGTCATAAGAGGAAACTAACAGGGTCTGGTAGTCAGGCTCTGACTTGGTTGACACATGTCATCGTATCCCAAATGCGTAGATCGATGCTCACGCTGTTGATCACTGGATTGTCTGGTTCAGGCTCGAGTAAACACAGACCGCCGCCATGTAGCTGGAATATTGCTGAGTGCGGCGTGAAAGAACAAACACACAACAAAAAACCCAAACATCTTTCAGAATACTCATACTCTTTCTCTGTCTGTCCATCTCTCAGTACACTTTGTAGTCCAGGAGGAGGCAGCTGAAAAAATTCTAATCGTAACCTCCCCAGTACTGATTTTGTTTGACACTATTTTCAGTTAGTATGATGTCTTGGGCTCATGAAAAGGCCTGTAATACTCTCAGATTGTGGTATCAGGTTTCTTTTACAGGCCATTATATGTGGTGGGGGTCTGCGATCATTTTTGTCACATTTGGTTTGCTGAACGACAGCACCTCAAAGTTAATCATTAATAGTTTTACTACTATCAATCTGATCACTTTCATTTTGACTTCTGTGTACTGCTAAAGGACGTAGAAATTATTTGACATAATTTTGGTTTGAAAAAATATCAAAATGGCCGCCATTTTGTTTTGTCATGTTTTGCCTTCTCAGCACTTAAATTTACACACAAATGAACACCGAATGTTTCCATTTACATCCAAAGTTGATACTTTTATGTGTTTTGACACTTATTTCTCCTAGAGTAATGACTTGAGCACAAAAGAAGTCATTTTGTATGGTCATAGCATGGTAATTTAATGTTTTACAGCTTACCCTTTGAGACAGGGGTATTTTGCAATTCTCTGACTTTTCATGGAAATGTGTGAGTGATTTATTTAATGGCAGTTAACATTAGTTTTGTTACTAAAACAAGTTGTTTTTGTTTTCTCGTTACTTCTAGAGTGACGGCATGTTATTAGGAATGTTTACATATTACCCAGAATTCAAAATGGCCGCCAAAATGGCCGCCATTGTAGTTAAACTACATATACTTAGTGGAGGACTAAATTTGTACTGATATGAAATCCAAACAACTCATTTGATGTCTAATGTTTAATACAGTATAGGAATAGAGCTAAATTTCAATGATTAGGGTCAATCAAAGCTTCACACTCCTAAAATATTTGATGAAATAACATTATCCAAAAGTGTTTGAAAACTATGCTTCATGGCCGATAACTACGTATAAGATTTGGTTGTAGGTATTCAAATTGTTCTATCAGATAACTCTTAATCACTTTTGATACATCCATAAGCTTGCAATTAACCCTCCTTTTCACTTTCTTTCATTTCATATGTTACTTCATGTCACGGGTTAGAATTGATCTTCAATAACCCATGCTTGTCGTAAGAGGCGACTAACGGGATCTGGTTGTCAGGCTCGCTGACTGGGTTGACACATGTCATCGTATCCCAATTGCGCAGATTGATGTTCATGCTGTTGATCCCTGGATTGTCTGGTCCAGACTCGATTATTATTTGTTAAAAGTCGGAGAATTGCAAAAATACCCCTGTCTCAAAGAATAAGCTGTAAAACATTAAATTACCATGCTATGACCATACAAAATGACTTCTTTTGTGCCCAAGCCATCACTCTAGGAGAAATAAGTGTCAAAACACATCAAAAGTATCAACTTTGGATGTAAATGGAAACATTCGGTGTTCATTTGTGTGTAAATTTAAGTGCTGAGAAGGCAAAACACGACAAAACAAAATGGCGGCCATTTTGATATTTTTTTTTAAACCAAAATTATGTCAAATAATTTCTACGTCCTTTAGCAGTACACAGAAGTCAAAATGAAAGTGATCAGATTGATAGTAGTCAAACTATCAATGATTAACTTTGAGGAACTGTCGTTCAGCAAACCAAATGTGACGAAAATGATCGCAGACCCCCACCACATATAATGGCCTGTAAAAAAAACCTGATACCACAATCTGAGAGTATTACAGGCCTTTTCATGAGCCCAAGACATCATACTAACTGAAAATAGTGTCAAACAAAATCAGTACTGGGGAGGCTACGAAATCCTATTTCTAGGCCCCTTTTGAGATTCTCCTCCTGCCAGTACTACCAGTACTAACCTCCCCCGACTGTGTTGACTTCCACCAGAACACTGTAGGGTTCCCTCTCAAACACATCCGATGAGTCATTATACAACCTGGTGTCCACGACCTTCACCTTGTCTGTTCTGTAGACCATTCAGACACAATGTCATCAAATCCAAACTCTGAAACCTCTAGTTTAAAAGAGCAGTGGACAAAAGTGATGTTTTTGTATATATATGTGTATTTAACCGTACTCGATCGTTCAGCTAAAGTTATGAGATAATTTGCCACTTTAAAACTGAAATTGCCCTTCTCAATTCTGTCTGAGTATTATCAGGGTCGTCAGAGCTAGAGAAAACGTAACGGTAATAACTGACGTTAATGATCTCTGACAATACTACATTAATACTGTTTCAATACTTGGAGAGACATATACATGCGGGGTATTCTAAAGATGTTGACCGATTCCTAAACTTCAGACAAATACCAAGATTCCGTTCCGTTTCCGTCATTCACGGTTTACTCACTTGTAGTAATAGGCGTACTGCTCTTTGTACGAAGTACGCCCGAGTCTGGGGCTGGCGATATATGCGAACTGTTCGGCATTGTTGCTGGAAGAAATGAACCCGAGTAGTTTAACTTTTCTTACCTGGCCAGAAAAAATATTCAAGATAACAATATTGGTCCACCGTTTCAGTGTGGAAATTACGAAAGGTTCATGAGTGTATTTTTGTGGCATGAATTATATATTTCAGTAACATTTCTCGGTGCTGCTGGTTTTCTCTGAAATTCCACGTTTTCTAAATACACATAACATGAAGTAACGCGAAAATACTCGAAATTTCGAGAAGATAACTGAAGTAGCGAGCAAATTATCGAAGCAATGAGAAAATGATCGCAATTTCGAGACATTAATTGAAATAACCAAGAAATACTAGAAGCAACGAGAAAATTCGGGTTACAAAATTCAATGACAGCACGGAAGAAATTGAAATATGTATGACCTGAATATAAGATATGAAAGAGAACCAGCAGATTTGGCCAAGAAACACCAACATACGTTTCGTACAATTTACCTACATATTGGTTAGGGGTGACTATTGAGGTCTTAGGAACTATCGTGATGTCGATAGTCTATTGCAAGCAACTATTGCAATGTCGATAGTCTATTGCAAGCAACTATTGCGATGTCGATAGTCTATTGCAAGCAACTATTGTGATATTTCAACTTTCAAATAGAATCCAACAATCAGATAAATTGCCATTTTCTACCAACTTCGTTTACATCAAACTACTTAAACCATAAAATGTGTTAAGTTGTTTATTCTTTATAACTTTAAGGTCAGTATTGGTCAAGTTATCATGATGACTTCTTCATGACTGGTCACCTTTCAGTTTCAATAGAAAACATTTACTGTGTGTAAAGGTTGAACATGAAACAGTTGACAGGTAGATATGTTTTAATTTTAACAACATGAAGATGTCAACAGACTCAACTGATTTAAAGAAAACAATAACCTTTCGTCACTGTGAAAGTATCAATAAATCTCACAAACAAACCTGTCAGCAGATAATTTGGTAACTCAAGTTGAAAGATAGGTTAACATAATTGGCAAATGGCAATATTTCCCATTAACTCTGATTTTACTCAAATAGTGTGATGAAGGCAGATAATAGTTCATTTTTAATCTTGGTTTCCAACTTTACAATTCTTCTTTAGAAACAAGAGTCTGTCCACATGTGCAGATTTAAGAGTCTGCTAGTCCAGCCATCAGTTGTGGGTGAAACATTCTCAGCACAGGAAACATCATTCCTGACCTCAGTCTCTTACAACATGGGCAAGGCAGTATCTGAGAAATACTGTCGCGACGGGATTGTGTAACGTGGTTCCAAAACTCTCAACGTGTTCCTAAACCCATCATTTTGGAATGAATGGCCGCAAATTTTTCACAATAAATTCAAAAATGGCTGCCGAAATGTCTCTTGCTCGTTTTGACGAGCGAACGCATAAGCCACTGGCCTTACCAACATCTACTGTGTTTGAATAAGCAGGCCATGAACCTCAATGCTGAAGCCTATTTCTGGTGTCACCCGTCGTGATATTGCTGGAATATTGCTAAAAACGGCGTAAAACTAAACTCACTCACTCAATACAGATATCACATAAAACGCAAATACATGTATGTTTAAATATCAAAAGCTATGATGATATATCAACTCCTCCCCAACGCACTCTATGCGCTCATTACTTCACTCACGTGTTGAGCAGGTCGAGAAGTTGCACCATACATTCTCCACTCTTCTGACGGATCTCCTGCACAAGCATGACGTCATAGGTGGAGATAATCTGCAATTCACAACATGCCGGGCTAACATATATATTCCCCCATCAACTTCAAGTTTACTAAATTTTTATAGCTCCATTTTCTCTCAGCCGAGCTCCATCCGTGCTTTGCTTTGAAATTATCATCAGTGGCCCAGTCGCTGGGGCATGTTTCCCGAGTAAGTCTGTCAAAGTCCTATTGTAGTGTTAAGCCTTGATCTCTATAAAGATTAGAAGGTTTTCACCTCCTCAATTAATTATTTTAATTCATGAATACTAAACAGCACTATGTTGACAGTTATTGCAGAAGTACATGCATATCTCATATGCGAAACGTGTGTGTTTTTTATTTGGTTGTTGCAATTTTCCAGCTGTATGACAGCGCGTTGTAAATAATCGAGGATAGGGCAGAAGACCCAGTGACTAAAGACCATGAGCATTGGTGTTCGCAACTGGGATGCGATGACGTGCCTAGACTAAGTCAGCGAGCCTGGCCACCCGATCCGTTAGTCGCCTCTTGCAACATATTGGTTGCTGAAGATCAGATGTAACCCGAATCTTCACGTGTGCATAAATTATGATGTAAACAGATATCACACTGATCATTACATTTGAAATGTTGATTTCATTGGCTCGTAGAAATACCGTTGAATATGTATCTCAAGAATCAACGATATAAGGTACCCTTGCTGTTATATTTGATAGCAAAGGAAAAGAATGATTCATGAGCTTTTCTGTTCTTAAAGGACACTAAAACAGAAGACTGTAATATAACTGAATCTGTTGTCTGAAATTTTGAGACTAATGAACTTTGCCTCGGGTTGACGTTAATTCTGTCAGTGTAAGTACGTTATCAAACAATTAACACCAATCGATTTAAGTAGCGAAAATCCGGATTCTGTAATATACTCAACCAAATTAAAAACTTGACACTTGTGAAACTGAATACCACCTGGAAGTCTTATGTGTATTATGATGAAAGAGGTTTACGCTAATATTGGTCTGTTCATATGAAATGTGTTCGATTGGGCTTAAGCCGGGGAGCGGTAAGGCCAGTCCATGACATGAAAATGTGAGAACTGCAGTACGAGACGTAACGTTGTCATGTTGAAATGGCAGAAATGTTGAATGGCAGAAGGGTTGGGGTTAAACTGGGGTTTGTGACATTCATTGCCCATATGTACACAAAGAACTTAATTAAACACCCAATATATTTTTGCAATGAAGGACGTGAAGGTCCGGGTTAGAGCTGGTCTTCAGTAACCCCTGCTTGTCGTAAGAGACGACTAACGGGATCGGGTGGTCAGGCTCGCTGGCTTGGTTGACACATGTCATCGGTTCCCAATTGCGTAGGTCGATGCTCATGATGTTGATCACTGAATTGTCTGGTCCAGACTCGATTATTTACAGACCGCCGCCATATAGCTGGAATATTGCTGAGTGCGGCGTAAAACTAAACTCACTCACTCATCACATACATACAACTTCTCGTGGTGACCACAATGGAAAGACATGCGTTTCTGACTTGTATGATGCTTAAAAAAAAACCGGCAAGATGATTGGAATCCATGTTGATCATGATGATAAAGGCTCGTTTAAGACAAACACCATGTCTGTTCAAGTATGGCCCTGGAATGTTTAATGTTGAAATCATTGATGAATATGAACATTTAAAATGTCATTTTGTGTGTCTTACACGATTCAAGGTCAATACCAAGCGTAACCTCCATTTGACTGTATGACAGCCAGCACACTCCTCCTCATACCCGTGTCAGCCTCCTGATCTTCGGACTACACCGTTCCTTGTGTGAAGCAGCTTCCGGTTGGGTCAGGTTCTGCACAGGAGGATCCCTTTGTTGCACACGACGACCAATCGACGACCAATCTCAGATATGCCCCAATGAGTAAAGATCGGGGTTCATTCAATCGTGAGATATGTCAGGGGGTGCTTAACTAAGTTCTTTGTATACATTTTCGTGTGTCTCTTGATTTGGACATCCGACTTGTCCTCTATTTGAAAATACGGTTTGAAAATGTCAACTCTTCTACTCCCAGTGCAAGGATACCTCGCGTAAAAAACCCCGATATAATTTGCTAGAGCACCCGTGAATGCATTCACTTCCCACAGAGGTTACTCCTGTCATATCTTCCTACGTAACCTCTGTTCTAATACGGCCCTTTCATGGTGTGAGCGTTCAAGACTCGTGATTGGAGGCAATCAGATTTAGTTGTGCAATCAGCGACGTTGTTTCAAAAGTGATCATTCGCAAGGCCTCGGTAATTTCCGTATGCTTCGAAAAAACTAAACTTCTTCCCCTGCGCGATGCGCAAACGTTTCTTCTAGACAGAACTCAGTCATGTTATGGCGGATCAGTGGCGTCTCCATCGCCCTCGTTGACAACGGACAAGCTAGCCATTAAACGTCTTGTGTGTAACATCAACACAAGTCCCCGGCAGATGGGGGATATTTGTGGCCCCACATTTGCTTGTGTTAGTCAAGTTGAATCTAAGTCGATGTAACACGTGTTCTCATTGGATAGAAAGAAGGGAGATAATTCGTGTTGCGATCTTTTGCCGCTAGGGGATTTTACGAGAACCGGGAAATATGGCCGTATTAGAACAGAGGTTCGTAGGAAGATATGACAAGTAACCTCTGTGGGAAGAGAATGCCGTGAATGTTGCATGTCTGCGGACCCATCGTAAACGTTGACCAAGATGAGTGCGTCAGGATAGGTCCTGAGTATGGTCGTCTAGTTCTGACACCTGCCGTCCACATGGTCTGTGCTGCTGTCTGCCGTAACAAAACGGTTACGTTATCTGGTTTGAACATAATCTTGGTGTGGCATTGGGCGATCGGCAACGGTGTCCGTATGACTGACTGACTGAGTTTGGTTTTACGCCCCTTTTAGCAATATTCCAGCAACATCACGGCGGGGGATACCAGAAATGGGCTTTACACAATGTACCCATCTGGGAATTCGAACCCGGGTCTTCGGCGTGATGAACCAACGCTTTAACCACGAGGCTACCCCACCGCCCCGTCCGTATGATGCACACGGATCTCCCACCGCCCCGGTAAAGTAAAGTACATATTCTGGTACTTTTGTTGGGATTCGAACCTTAATCGCCAGCACACAAAGTCATCCACCGCGGCTTCCATAAAATGGTACTAGAATCTGTACTTTACTAAGAAATTGTAACCCCAAATATAACATATGCTGCATTTTTTACGGTTTATGGTGCTTAGATATTTCATGGGTGTCACAAGACATTTTTAAACAGCCTACATGTCATTACAGTGTGTATGGCACAACAACAAACTGAACGGAATTAAACCCTCACAATTGTTACCAATTTTATGACTGTCACGTTTTTAATTATGTTGAGTATATTTAAGGCTTCTGAACGTTCTTCGGCATGAAACAATTGACACTAATCGCTCAATGTAGCCAAATCCCAGCCAAAATTGTGAATATCAGCAACATACAGTTCAGTACCCAAGACGATGTTCCCCACAATTGGAATATTCACCTGTAACATTGCTATGTGCGGTGCTAAAGAACATTACACATTACCTAGTTGACAGTACTCCTTGCAGACTGGTTTGAAAAAGTCCCTTTAAGTGTCCTCTTTTATGTCAACGCTCTTTGATCCAAAACGAATTTCTCATAAGGTAATAAAGTATTGTCTATTGTCTAAGACACGACTTATTGGACCGAATGGTCAGACTCAGTGGCTCGGTTGATGACGTTTAAATGTACTCCTACGGTAGCGATAGTTGCTCTTCATATTTACCCCTGGATTGTCTGGTACAGACTCGATTATTTACAGGCTTTCGTCACATAGTTTGAATGTTGCTGTGTGATGCATTATTTAATAAAACGGATCATTACCTTTCTGATAGTTTCCATGACTTCAGGTTTGCTTGCCTTTGTCTTGCCGAACGTCTGGATGTTAAACACTCCAACCCTGAGGTCGGGGTTTTGGGTGGAGACCGGGGTAGGGGTGACAAGGGGGGCGCATGCCAGTAGCAGAACGATGGTGACCAACATCATGATAGCCGTAATGATTATCACCTGTCTTCAGCTGACACATCTGTGAGTACTGCACACCTGTTTACTTATATAGGACCTACATCCCTACGTCAACAGCTGTATCAATAAGCGGCAGGTAGGGGGCGCTACAGAAAAAAAAAATCAATGGTATAGCTGACCCAATAAATAAACCTCTGCAACTTGTCTAGCTGGGTCCTATTTACAAAGCGATCAGGCCATTTTGACCGTCTTATAAAGGAACATATATACACATTGAATAAAGTATAGCAACACCGCATATTTTTCTTAGTATCAATGCGTTACCGTTAACCATTGCAAAGGAACTTATACCAACCTCAATTTAACTTTCTATCTGGATAAACTAACCTTCAGAGAATAATACAATGGCAAATCTAACCACAAAAAGAACGAAAAAGTTTATTCAGACACGCTAACATGGCAAAACTGTGCAGTAAACTTAAGTGTTGATAACTATGTTCGTATGACGTTAACAGGTGCGATCATATTCAAGCTTCTGGCACAGAGTGACATAAATATCAATAAGCGAGCACAATGCCTGGTGTGGCCTTCGCTAACTGCAATAACATCGCTGAACCTCCTCCTCATTACCTGTATCAGACGATGAATTTGACGTTCTGGTATTGCGTTCCATTCTTGAAGGCCATGTTCCATTACATCAAGCTTTTGCATTGAATGATCTCTCTGGAGTATTCTGCAACATATTTAATGTTACGAACATGCTCAAAGTGATTGAGATTTGGACTCCAGACTCCAAAGTAGAATTGCTACCGACTCTTGACGTAATCATCAACGGCACGTCGACGATGTGTCCTAGCATTGTCGTCCACGAAGACTGGCCTTGTGATCAGATGGTCATCGAAATGTGGTAAAACAACCATATCTAGGATGTCAGTGATGTACCGTTGTGGGACAACAACCATATCTAGGATGCCAGTGATGTACCGTTGTGGTGCAACAACCATATCTAGGATGTCAGTGATGTACCGTTGTGGTACAACAACCATATCTAGGATGTCAGTGATGTACCGTTGTGGTACAACAACCATATCTAGGATGCCAGTGATGTACCGTTGTCCATTCAAGATTACAATCATGTGAGATGCTACAAGAAATACCGTTGTGTATATGCAGTATTTCTGCGGCGTCAACGCGATCCCCGCGATCCGTCATGAACTAAACAAATCAACTTCCAAATGACTTCAAATTCCAGTGACGTCAAGCTTGACACCAAGCTAGTCGTGCTGCTTTATGCTCTGGGAATAACGACGGACTGCTGGGACAAATGGCTGTATACCCGGTCGATTTGTTGCTATTTTGGACCGTTCTATTGGACAAACGATGATATGGAACCCCACTTGACATGAACGGATGAAGTATCCTGTGAGGTTTCACTCGTGGTCGACCTGAACGCTAACGGTGCTTAACGTCATTATTTTGCTGATGACAACCAATATCTCTTGCAATATCCCTCGATGACATGTTAGCATTCTACACACCAACAACTTGTTATCTTTGAGCAGTTGGCAGATGGGGAGCGCCCTGTTAAGCAGTGGAATGACGACAAATACTAATATTAACCCAAGCTTTAATAATCCATAATTGTCTATTCATATACACACACAAACTGAAGGCAAGACACAACACGAAAGGAGTGGTATCTCCCAAATTATATTAGTCCGGCTACTGAGTTACAATTACAATTGAACGGTGGGGTATCCCAGTGGTTAATGCGTTCGCTGGTCACGCCGAAGACCCGGGTTCGATTGCCCACATGGGTACAATATGTGAAGCCAATTTCTGGTGTCCTCCGCCGTGATATTGCTGGAATATTGCTAAAAGCGGCGTAAAACTAAACTCACTCACTCACTACACTTACACACAACGATGTCATTACGACTATGATGAACATCTAAAGCGCATCCAATACGAGGAGTTTCGTTCGACTAACCCTGGTAAGATCACGAAACATGTATATCCTAAAACCATGCAGTAAATCACGTGCACATGTTCTATCCGAGAAGAGTCATACGTTCGAGTGCACACTTCACTGTCCAAGAACAAATGTACATATACGCCATTGAACAGGTATCCAAAACGCATCTACTGCATGGCAACATTCGTTGAAAATACGTCCATCTGAAAGTTGAATCCGAAGCAGATTACGTTGTCGAGAACAGTTCAGACAATCCATGAACAGTTCTTCAGTCCATTCGCGACCCACTCGATGGTAGACTCCTGTCTATCAGAAGTTCAGTATATCTCCATGAATTATGAATTACACAATATGAAAATGAACGTTTGAATAGGCATCACATCACACATCCTGCTTCTTCATCCTATCGATCCTCAGAAATGCCATGTACTGTATCTTGATTTGAATCTTTCCAAAATCGATCCTGCAGACAGCGATCCTCCGAATTCGATCTTTTGACCTTGTCCTTTGTACGACTATCCTCTTGTGATCACGCCTGCTCCCATTCCTTGCAAGATGAACATTGCCTCGTCTGATCCTCCACATCACTGATCTGCGGACTGGTCTGTCAAGTGATTCTCCGAGTTCCACCCCAGAGGACATACCGTTGTCACCGGTCGGATCTTGACTTGTACTCTCACTTTTGGAAGGGGTGCCATGATCTAAGATCCAGGTTGAGCCTTTGGTTTCTGATAAAATGCACATTCTGTCTCCCAGGCTCAAATCTCTTCTCGAGGAAAGTGAAGCTATTTTTTAAATGTACCCATTGCATGTTAACAGCTTCTTGGTAATGTTTCACACTATTAACAAAGTCTTCAGATCATCCTGAATGTTCAATGGGCGATTTCCTCAGTCGTTTGTAAGGAAAAAATGAGAGGAATATTTTTCAAAGCATTTAAACAAAAGCGATACAATCATTTACATAATCATACGAAATATCCACTGAAAGTTAGATCCTGTGAACGATTGCATTGGTATGATACAATGCCTCAATTGTATATAAACACAGGTAACACATACGAGAAGTTACATAACATTTGTCAGTCAATTACACAACTGTTGCATTTAACAAGTATCTTATTTTTTAAACGAGTCTACAAGTGCAGATGTTTACAACATATATTTTTCAGTCGGCATACCACGTTCTCACATTTAATGCAACTTACAGGGTCACTCGGTTTGGTTTGTGGTTAATCAATTAAGCAGCTGTTACAATAGCCAATACTGACATATTAGAAAGATAACAAGTGTACAGGAAAAATATCGGCATATATGAATTAGTGGGTTTGGGGTAGTCAAGTGGTCAAAGCGTTCGCTCGTCTCGCCGAAGACCCGGGTTCGATTCCCCATATGGGTACAATGTGTGAAGCCCAATTCTGGTGTGCCCCCGCCGTGATATTGCTGGAACATTGCTAATAGCGGCGTAAAACCAAACTCACTCACTCAAAGTAAAGCAGCAAATCGCCAGCACAAAATGTCAGCTATGGATGCCACTCCGCCACTGAGGCTGGAGGTCTGACAACTGATAGACAAGGCAATATCACGTACTTTGTGGACACACTCAAGTCGGCACCGTTACCATGTCCGAAAGCTACGATTACATAACGGTTCTATTCCCCACATGGGTACAAAGAGTGAAGCCCATTTCTGGTGTCCCCCGCCGTGATATTGCTGGAATATTGCTACAAGAAAGTGTTATCCAATATATCACATATGACAACTTTTTAAATTGAAAATCTTGACAGGAAAAGAATAAAGAGGAAGGACGGGTCAGTGTATTGCCTTGAATCCGAATCATGACCAACAACGTGTGTAATGAAATTAGAATTTCTGGCCAGAATGCAAGAAAACGCGAAAAAATGCGGAATTTTGAAATTTTGCATCACGTCAAAATATCGCTGACAGCGTTGGTTGCTAATCTCATTCGAGGTGCATACCCTCTTCATGTGCCAGTACGTGAAGATCCACGTTAGAAGTGGTCTTCAGACACTCACGCATGTCGTGAGAGGCGACTAACAGGAATGGGTGGTCAGACTCGGTTGACACATGTCATCGTATCCCAACTGCACAGATCGATGCTCATGATGTTGATCACTAGATTGTCTGTGTAAACGAAGATAAAAACAAATGCCAAGATTGAATGGTACTGACCGAAATATCGCCACTGGACGTTTGGAAGCAGGGTAGTCTCAGTCTGCCGTTGCAAGACACTTCGGCGTCCACCACAGCAACATATCTCGATTATGGCATCGATATACCCGTTTCAATTCGACCCAAGATCGTCCCAGAAGGGGAGACCAAGAATGACCAGTCCTGCTCAGGACCGATACATCTGGGTTTTTCACCTACGTCACCGATTTGCTACAGCAAAGGGCACTGCGGGACATATTGCCTGGTCTTCGAAGAATTCCCGACCAAAACATCAGAAATCGTCTGGGTTAAGTGGGAATTCGAGCATATCGACCAAATGTTGGACCTGTCCCGACACTACTACACCTATAAACGGCGTGTCCAATAGTGCAACAAGGTACAGGCATGTAACCTGGCAAACGCTTGGAACGCGTTTGGTGCAGCGATGAATCGCGTTTCCTCCTGAAATGACGGGATGGGAGACAACATGTCTATCGACGTCAACACGAACGTTTTACGCCGAGCTGCGTTCGATGGGTGGCCATATTTGGTGGAGAAAGCGCCATGGTGTGGGGGACCTTATCCTACACGGATAAATCAGAACTAGTGGTGGTTCAAGGCAATCTTACAGCTAATCGCTACATCGACCAAATCCTGCCACCTCACCTCCTCCCACTGTTTCAACACAACGCTCGACCCCAAACAGCTCGTGTAACAGGAGCCTATGTCGCCAATGCAAACGTTAGTGTCCTTCCCTGGCATTCCAAATCCCCTGATCTGGACCCGATCGAGCATCCATGGCACAAACTTGATCGACGCGTCCGTAAATGTCAACATCGTCCTCAGACACTTGTAGAACTTGCCAACGCCTTGC